GCCAAACCCCACCATCACGACCTAAACTCCCACATGTTCACTTATACGGATTTGGCTTGATAATGAAGCTATTTAGAATGTAATTACTTCACTAGATAGCCCTGATCTTAAGGTTTCTTCCAATGTTTGTTTGTTTTGTTTTGTATTTAACGTGGGGGGTAGCTCCTCAGTAGTGCAAACCACGCCTCCCAGAGCCATTGCATCGCAAGGTTGTAGAGGTGTCAAATTAGATACATTCAGATCCGCGCACGAGCCTATCCTCGCTGTAGCGGTACCAATCTGGAGTGTTCAGATGGTTTTAGTCAATACCCAAGCACGATTCCGTCAGAAAAAACCTCCTATCTAGTGACAAAGCGACCCAGTGAACCTCAGTTCTCTGGTGTACATATCGTTCCAGTAGCCGTTCGATATATGTCGCATTGGTGGGTGGAGTAGGTGTTTGTTATCTGCTGGCGAGGGAAACCACAAGGGGGAAAACCTCGCAGGAGTGGGTATTGTGGAGACAAGCTGCTTGGCTATCGGGCTCTGCGATAAAATGGGGCCTCTCCACTGTCGTGTGCTGGTTATCGACTCGCACAAGCCGGGTCAGAAAGGGGGCCATAGCAGGATTCGAACCCACTTGTTCTCGTCGCCCACCGCACAAACGAGAACACAACCAGGCGCATTTGACCATTGCGCCATACGGCTTTCTTCCAATGCAAAAATTACCCCGCGCGGCCTACGTGATTGGCTGTCTATTACCCCGCGTTTCCTGCCACACCTCCGTACGTATATGTTTTTTTCTTATTCTATATGGACTTCTTTCATTTTTCTTGATTGAATAAGGGTTAATGCGTGTTATAAGGACGAATTCATGACCATCTGTTATTTTGCCAACATATTGCTCTGTTTCTTCCCTGCGCACACTAGTCACGGCATGCAACCCCTGGATAACGGGCCCTATAACGCCCTAAAGGCTCACTATCAGAAACTCTTCTCCTAGCTAAATTCTCTGACAGATGCCTCGCCTGTTAACAAGATCAACTTCATTCGGTGCTATAGCCAGGCCAGAGCTGCTGCTTTTACCAAAGCAAATATCCTCTCTGGCTTCAGAACGACTGGATATTATCCTATCAGCCGCTGGAAGTGCTTAGCGCACCCAGAAATCCAGAAAGAGAAGCAGAAGACCCCTGAGCCTGAGACCCCTGAAAGCTCTGAACCAGAGGACCAACGGACCCCTACTACGAGCCGCCAGATCATGAATTTCGGCAAAAATAAGTCCCCTGGCACCCGCCTGAAGTAAAGGAGATAGCCACTGCGTTCAAGGCTAAGGAGACCGATCTTGTTATCAAGGACAGGAAGATCAAGGCCCTGGAGGCTGAACTGGAGCGGCTACGGCCAAAGAAGCGCCAGAAGATCCCTAATCCTAACAAGAAGTTCAGAACAGTCACGGAGGTACTAAGTACAGGTGGTACCATCACCCCTGGTGCCTCTGCAGATATACCAGAAGTTGTGGTTGATGATGACGAGGAAGAAGAAGCAGAAGACGAAGACTCGGCTGAAGAGCCCGCTTTGGAGGCCATACAGGAGCCTAGGCACACCCGTTCGGGGCGAGCCATTTGGGCGCCCGCACGCTTGTACGAGTAAACAGCCCCACCGCTATCGAGTGATAATTTTGCTGAATTTTTCCGATCTACATGACTTCATTTAGGTGTGGGTAAATAAGGGGGTGTTTTGGTGGTGGATGCGGGGTTTGGCTATACGAGTAGTGGGGGTGTCCGAGTACTAGGTGGGGGATGCGTACCTCAAATACTTGAAACTGAGTCACGACCTTCCGCACGATGTCTGCATCCATAGGTCAACAGCCCCTCTGGCTTGTTGTGTGTCGATGAGTCATGCTAATAGTGCCCTCATTTGAGAATCTAACCATCCCATTTCGCATCAGTGACCTTGCTGTGCAGCAGGCCAAGCCCCAGGCGCATCAGACGGCGGCTACGCACGCTCGTACATGGCTCGGCTTTATCAGTCGCACGGTCCGCGAGATACGCACACAGAATGATTCTAACAAGGTCAGCCGAAGCATTGATGGGCTGACTCTGCGCTTGTTGGAGACTGACCCTGAAGCCCGGTTCAGGTCGACTGAGCTAGCCATTCTGGCAGCGGACTTGAGACGAGATTTGATATAAATCACAACCATCTCCTGGTTGCTGTCTCCCATATGCTTCCTCTTGAAACTGTCCATTTTGTCGCGGACCGTCAGCACGATGGGCACAAGTCGGCTTTTTAGCTCATCTAGGTTCACTCGTTGTGTTTCACCTTGGCTGTTAGTTTTTAGGTGTGCGATATAGTCTAGAGTGTCACGGAGGTATTCTGTAGTCGGTTTGGGATGCGATAACTGAATCTCGAACTCGTCAAGCACCTGACAGATCTCGTGGGCGATGTTGGTACGACATTACGTTACGCCATGAGGCAAACCTACATATCAGCAGAAGTAAGCCCGCCGCCATTAAGTTCTTAACGGAAGAATCATTCTCAGGAGGTACCTAAGCCTCTATATGGAATCCGACGATCCGGATGACTCACACACAAACCACAGGCCGAGGCAGGCTTTGCGCCTATAGATGTGGGCACCCATGATCTCACGGCTTCTATAGGACTCCAAGAGGGGGTTGGTGTCTGTCTTGCTACCATTGTTAAGAAATCATTCTTAGGGGCCATCGCCTTGTCTTACATGCTCTGGTTCTTACGGGCGAACCGTAAGGCGGCTCGAATGATGACTAAGAATGATTGGCCATCAATGTTACAGTACGTTTCCCATACATGTGTATTACGCCATGCCACTGCCTCCTGACCTAACCTTCAGCCCTCGAGAGCATCGAAGACGTGCAATCGGACGAGGCATCGATTGCCCCTTAAAAAACCTGCGATGACGCCTTTAGGATGACTCATAGGCATTCAAGAAGCCCGCAGAGACTGCCGCCCTATGGATAGAGGTGGCTGAGAATGATTGGTCATGAGAGACTATGAGTCCAAGAGTACACACGACCGAGAGGCAACAGCTGTCACACATGCTGCTGCTTCTCCACAACAATATCTACAAGCTAGTACTGAATCAAGTCACCAGCATTGACTCGGCAGCGGACACGACCAGGCTATAAGCAGAATTGAATGTGTTTGATCCTAGTAATTTACGGAACAACTAGATATCGAACATCCTCGTCTAGCTTTCAGCTCTCTCATCTTGTTCCACGCCGTAAATGGACGCTTAAAACGGTTGGCTCTTAAGGGCTGAAACTGGGACACGCTATTTAAAGGACTTTCTAGAGGCTGAACCGGTCGAGATACGTACCTAAGGCGTAGCGACGTGTCTATCCGCGAGCCTGGTTCGTAGTTGCTGGTGCGATGTTTGGCGCAAGTTTGCTACAGTTGCAGGTGGTATAGAAAGGACTCAGGGGTAGAATCTGATGCACCTGCCGATTCAGAGTGCGCTGATAATTCGTATGATTAACGGTCTAGGAACGGTCAGTTCAAGAGTTGACTAGACAAACACGGTAATCGAGGGTAGGTCGTGCTCGACTCCTTGCTGCTTCGGTGTCAGCTACGATGGTCAGGGCTAACAGGTTAAAATATCTGGATTCAACTATATCTAAGGAATAAGGAACAAGGTAAGAAGAGGAAAGAAAGGATACCATATATATGTACAAAGACATGTGCATATATTATGTAATACCGTAACAAATGCAATGCACCTCAAGCATATACCACATCCCTTATTCTTCTTGTATTGAATATCACAGCTGCATGTATATATACTTGCAGAATCTGCCTAAACATTCATAACTAGTAGTGACAAGGTTTAAAGAGGTAATGCCTCTGCCATGGCTTACGATCATTATCTAATATATTCCCAGGTCTAGTAATTGTCCTCGATTGTTACTAAGCTCCTTATACTTCAACGACCCTATTACTATCCCACTTATCCATCGCCTTAAATGATCGATTATTTTAGCATATATTTTCCTCTTATTATTGTTGCTATCGTCCTTGCAGCAATCAGTTGTTAGTTCGTAATCGTGGCCGCACCGGGGTGTGCCTTTGTGGTAGCGGAACCAGAACAGAGATCTATCACAAGTCTTGGTTGGGATGATCTGTATTCTGGTTGGTGCTTGGCTACGTTCGGATGGGAAGGATCCCATCCGAGAAGTATCTAAATACCTAAATTACAGTGGGTCGGTACCTGTCACCTGGAGCAGCCATCCCAGGTAACCTTATCGTAGAACGCCCTGGATGACAGGATATCCGATAAGGTACTGGTGGCTGGATCCAGTGGCTAGGATCCACAGGGGATCGTCTCGTTGATTTAGAGATGGCTTCTGTCCGCCTCGGCCTGGACGCAGGCGATGGAAATATATCAGGCGGGAAGTTGTTGAATGGGAGCCGGAAATAGACACTGGAAGATCTCCAGTGGGGCAGAGACGCACAGGGCATCTAACCCACCCAGAAGATAGATCATCAATTTCTGCACGCTGAAGGGGTGAAGCAGAAGAGGACAACAATGGAACACACTGGACCAACCCAATAATCTGGACTCGCTTGCATCTAACAAATGGAGGCGTCTGTTAGCGTAATGGCTGGCTGGGGTAGGCTACCCACTAACAGTGGGCGCCAAGAAAAATAATTTTAAAAAGAAGGTGATCCGTCCGTGAGTGATGGATTGGTAAGCAGGTAACACCCTCCTTTTGAGCCGGGCCAATATATTAAGCCGCGCCGGAGACTCATTGAAAAAGAGTAAGACCGACTCCGACTCCAAGTACAGACGACTGGCTACTTCATAAAGTTCATGCTTACCAGTCTTGCCGGCTCCGATCTGACATGACTGCCAAGTACGGGGTCTATGCCCGTTTGAATGACGGCGTCTTTCATGTAGGAGGACTGCCGAGTACATAATTACTCCCTTCGTTCTAGTCAAAAAAGGAACTACCACCGAAACGGGGCTGTTCAAAGACAACGCCGATTCCATCATGGCAGCCCCGAAGAACTCGCGGAAATACGATCTCGTGCTCGTCGGAGCGAGTGGGTATACTGGCAGCCTCACTGCCGAATACATCGTCAACTACCTTCCTGACGACTTGAAATGGGTTATTGTAGGCAGATCCGAGGAGAAGCTGGAGAGTCTTGCTGCGGTAATCAAAGGCATGGGTGCACAACGCCTACAGCCAGGTAACCACCTCGCACCAGAGCCCACCAATTATGGTGCCTTGAGCTAACAGACATTTCAGCCGTCGAGGTGGTGTCGTTTGGTGATCGAGAAGAATTCCATAGGCTCATAAACAGTGCCAAGGTGTGCGTCACCTACTGGCGGATCGGAGAAATGGTTGTCGAGGCTTGCGCTGAGAATTCGACAGATTATATAGACTGGTAAGTTCCACATTTCTATTCAGTTCACCGGATATTGAACGCACACTGACAATATATCGATCTATTTCAGCGCAGGCGACACTTACCTGTGGCATGGCTTCAACAAGCGCTATCACGAGAAAGCCGTGACTAATGAAGCCGCTGTGAGTGTCCTATTCTGTGCACCACCCCCGAACTGTAGCGTTGACTCGAAGAGAGCTTATACAATCGTGCGGTATCTTCACTGGTCCACAAGACCTCCTGACCTGGGTCGCTGTCCGAGAGCTGGTAAAAAGACGCTCGGCGAAGACGAAGGAGGTCATTCTAAGCGTGATCGAAGCGTCATTCGTCGCCAGCGCGGGCTCAGTTGAAAGCTTTATTCACCAGAAGGGTCGTGGTCCTGAAGCAGTCCAAGCGTCTCGAGATCCATGGGCCTTGTCGCCGGTCAGGGGTGTATCATCCTCTGCTTCGACCAACCTGTTCGGCATACGCCACGACTCTACTCTGGGTTTGCTTGCGAACTCGGCGACAGGTGCACCACAAGATCGCGCAGTCATCCACAAGACCTGGGGCCTCCTCCAAGGGACGGACAAGTCGTATGGGGATCGCTTCCAATACAACGAATTCGATAAGGTCACTTCTACTGTAGCTGGCGTTGTCAAGCTTCTTACCCTCTACCTCGCAGAGACTGTTCTGGGACTGGCACCTGTGTAGAAACTGGCCAAGAGATATCTGCCGCCGCTCAGCGCAGGTCCGGACGTGGAGAAGACGCGGGATTCGCCTGTGAAAATGGAGGCTGTTGCTGTAGCTGAGCCGGGCTCCGGCGGTACGGCTCGCGCCCATGCCAGCTTCTCGCATCCTTCGGGGGCGTACCATGTTACAGCATTATTGCTTACCCAGGGAGCGGCTTCGCTGTTGTACAATCGGAAACTAGAGGACGGAGTGACTGGAGGCTGTCTCACGCCCGCCTGCTTAGGGCATGATCTTGTTGAGAGGTTGCGGGCTTCCGATTCGGTGATTCAGACCAAGATCGTAGAATAGGTATACACTAAGTTGCACTCAGGAGCCATAACTTAGCAAAGATATCCATTGGGAGCAACCATCTCATTTCTCATTGTCAGCTATAGGGGCTGATACCTTAAAGAACCTACTCTCTATTCTATATACTTCCATAAAAGAATGGGAAACGTACAGAAAACCAAGGTAACTAACAGCTTCCACCGTAGAGAAGAAGAAGAAGAAGAAGAAGAAGTAACGGCTTCAGCCGTGGAAATGCCCAAATGCATGCGACGGCATGGGAACATGTCGGCTTGCGCCAGCGCCGTAGACATGCCGACGAGGAGCTCGACCTTACTCCTCGCCTTCATGAATCTTGTCGTAGAGGGAGACTGGGGCCTCATACTGCGGAAATGAAGCTGCGATAGAGGCCCAGAGCGCCGCATTATCATCCTCCATGACTGGAATATTCCAATCCTTCTGCTTGACCATGTCCTTGTTTATCTGGACACCTTCGCGTTGGAGCTCGATGAAGAGGTCGTAGTCTCCCCATCCCGGACCGATATACTCTGGTCGGGGGTAGTCCTCCATGTCGATGTACAGCACCACCATGATACCCTGGATTGCTCGAGTCCCAGGACGTATCGCCAGCGTTGAAATCTCCGGCTATTACGCAGCCGAAGGGTGGAGTCTATACTTCTAGAATGTCGTCTACTTGCTGCAGGTTGTCGCATGGTCAGTAGATGCTAGCAAATGTAATGCCTTGTACCTTGACCTAAGTGATGTCTTATATGGCGTAAGGCCGAAATTGATCCACTTGAAGGTATTTTCTTACATAGATGATAGATCTAGGTCGTATATTGTTGCTATCCCAGGAATCGACCGGAGAATATATATCATAATTTGGGTGCGTTTTTATTCCCATTCTTCTGCCTGGTGGTATGCCGACCCAGGGCTCTTGCATCAGAATGATGTCTGCTTGCTCTCCTTTATAATCAGCCAGGTTAATGGCTAATTCCGTAGGGCCGGCACTCCTTTGTCCTCCCGCCGTATTCACGGAATGGACGACCAGATGTCCGTGTTGATGTTTTTCCTTTGGTGTACCTAGCATTGACGAACAACAATGGTGTCGGTGTCCCTGGGATCAGTTGTATTTGTCGTATCGACTTGCATTGTGGGGTCTTCGCTGCTGTTGCTAGGTATTGACTCAGCTTGGGTCCTGCCTGCTTCGTTGAAGGTACTGGATCTGGCTACCAGTCTATATAATCTATCGAATTCTCAGCGCAAGCCTCGACAACCATTTCTCCGATCCGCCAGTAGGTGACAACGCTGATGCACGCCTTGGCACTGTTTATGAGCTTCTCCGGCCAGCCTTATTTCCTGCCATGCCCCTACTCACGCCAATATAAGATACATCATCCAGAAGATCCTACAATCCCAGGGAAAACCGCCTCATCTTAGGGGCCATTACATGCGAAATTTCATCCGCCAAAACCCAGAGATAAAGACCAAGATGGGTAGAAAACTTAATTACAAGCATATCAATGCTGCCACTCCTGACAATATCCATGGCTATTATAACCGTTATACAGATTTCAACTTCAGTCTTGGACTTGACCGGAAAGGCCGGCATGGACGCCCTGAAGCTGCATGTCAGCGAGCTTCTCATCGACCTCATCAAGAAGGAGTTCTCCAAGCTCAAGACCGAGATCATCGGAGAACTGGCATCGGTCAGCGCTTAGTGTGACAAGATGGGACCGACCCGAAGCAACCGACTGTTGGAATCTAGGGGTTCTGGTTCACCCTGAGGTCTCAATGTCACCAATATTACTAAAACCCCATATCTGTCCTTTGTGCTAGGATTTCTGGAAAAGGATACACTGTCCTTTTCCCACATACATTCTTTTTATATTTCTTATATATAAGGGCCTTCTGGCCTTTAGGAACTATTCCTGGTTTCTCTCCTTTAATAGAACACTTTGAAATCTCACACCCACACGCCCAACGAGCGTATGTACCAGACCCTGGGATCGGAGCGGGCTGGCTGGTTCAGCGCGAAGCCCATCTCCGATATCATGGCGCATGAGTCAGGACATGATTATAAGATGTGATGTGAAGGCTTCCGATCCAAGCCCTCAAGAGTTCAACTCGCCCCGTCCGACGTTGGCACCGACACAGCCGTACGTATCACCTTCACTGTCATGAGGAGCTACAGGTGCTTACAAGGCCAGAACTACATCACTGTCTCAGGGGCCGTCAAGACCGCCTTGTCGTCTTAACGGGCCGCCATGATGCCTCCGAACCCCCTAATCGCTATTTAAACACGTTTTTTGAACGCCAAGTCTTGATCCGCATTTCCGAGCCAGTTGTGGATTCCCTGGTTACCGCATACATATATAGTTTATTCAGGTCATTCTAAGCCCTTCCGTCGAGGTTTAGAGTTAGAGATTAATATATCCGGCCGAACTTGGAGTTACTTGCGCTCACAATTGGTTGATGCTGAGCCCTACCAATACTGGCAGGTCACGAATGCTGCATCAGCCACACATCAGCCACACATCAGCCACACATCAGCCGCGCATCAGCCATTCATCATCTGCAATTATCCCTGCTTGCCTCTCCTGGTTGATTGTAGCTGCATGTCTCTATTGCATACCCCTTGGAGCAGGAACAGGAAATTAAAAAGCCTGTACTTTCATATGCTGCTGTGTTCGTGAACGGCCGCACTACACCATCAACAAGCACAGTTCCTGCTGCAACGACCATGGCACTATCATACTGCAACCAACCACCAGCCCCGTACGTCGCAGTGGGATCCGAGATGATAGGGCGACATTCCTTCTTTGCTTGTGGTCTGTTTATAAGTCAAACCTATGCAAGTTTGTTATAGAAACATGTTAAGGATAGATATTTACTATAAGCGGACTGTCTTAAGATGCTAGACGGCACGACGAGCGAACGTCATGTTAAAAATAAAATGGTGGGTTACCCGCGTGGCAAAAGCCCACCATAGCTTACCAGCGCGCCTTGCAGTGACCTACGTGTTCGGGGTAAGCAAAAAAGAAACCAATTCCTTCCAAGAGTAGAATGCAGGCTTAGGCAGGAATTCGATCATCTTCCGGGGGTGGAGGAAGGGGGTGGCGATCTTGGCCAATGGTGCCCGTGGTCCAGTTCCTGCTCATGGTCCATTTTATTCTCGTGATCCATTTCCTGCTTATGATAGTTGAGGGAACCAGTCTATTCGATCAAGCTTCTTCAGAACACCGGAAACTGGTGCCCAGGAAGGCAGAATCACAATGTCTGGTGGTCTCCTCGCCGTACTTGGACACAATCTTCTTGATGTACTCCTCTTGACCAAAGAATACCTGATTTGTGTCAAGGTTCCGTCGAATTCGATTGGATCTTGATCCTGCCTGTAGGGGGCTACTCGGCGCTAGAGCTAAGCCACAACAAACACACTTGTTTGTTACCGGATATCCCAGCCCCCATGGGAATGAGCCAGAGTAAACCGCTCCAGACCTTGAACCTGGATAATCGCCCCCTTCGGGAGTCGCCGAACTCAAGACAGAATTGTGAATTTGCGGCTGCATGTCAGCACCATACATTTATCTATAAGAGTGCGGACAAGACTGGGTCATTTCCCCCAACTCTATTCAGGACTTCCATTCCCATTGACCTAGTGACCTTCTTCGAATCTTATTAACTATGTTGTCTTATCCGGCCATTCGTCCTCGTGTGCTTTCCATAATATGGAGACTTCTCTGTACTTTCTGTTGCGTTGGAAACGCCGACTCGACCAATGCATCGCCAAGTCATGCCGACTTCGACCCCATGGCCGTTGGGAATGGGAACAACCCCGTCCAAAAAGCCGTCACTGACGGACGCTTCGAAATTATCGTGAAAAGAGATGACGAACAGCCGGGCAGCACCGACATACAGCCTCCCATTTACAGCCCCACGGCCCGACCGACATCAGTCGAAGCCTTTCTAGCCCTTTTCCGCAGTGGCCGTACTGTGGGAGAGAAGCATGGCATCTCCGACCCCTTCAATGTCCTCCGCCACCGGCTTTTCCACGTGTGGATCGACGATAATTACAGGCTGCCGAAGAATACCCGAGATTCGATCCTGTTGATGGCTCTGTTGCTCCTTATGCTCGGGCGAGCCCTGGACTCCGACATGGAGTTCTATTTCATGAGCCAGCCCAACACTGTCGTCGAGATTCTCGACGAAAAGGAACGCCAGAAGTTCGATACTTGTAGTGAAATTGTTCTAAGGCCTCTTCGCCTCTGCCCGGTATCGTTGTTAACAAGGTGCTGTGGTCTGACACTGAGGCGAGTTCTTCGCAAACTTCAGTCTTAACGTAGGGTACATTAGTAAATGCCATGTCTAAAACATGCCCAGCACGGTGTGTAGCTTGGCCTGGGATGCCAGTGAAATACATCCTGCTATCAGTAAGCCACGACGCCACGTCAGCCCCCCGGTCTCTGCCTTCTGCCCCTGGCTCGAACACTGGATGGCGTATGTTAAGGTCGCCCCCTATAAATAGGTTAGGCGACAACTATAAACTGATAAGGTAATCGATCATTTCATTGGTGCACGGTTCCCTGTAGATGTTGAGAAACGAATACCCGTTTATGTCAACCCATATTGCGTCCCTTGAAGCTATGGGCCGGCGTTGTTGGGCCTTGAGCTTGCACCCCTTTCTCACGTAAGTCATCACCTGCGGCCGATTTTCTGTCGTATCCCAGGTGTCCACTGGCGCATAAGACTCGTACCCTGGATGGTTTTGCGTCTTGGTCTCCTTCATTGTCCAGGGTTCACAGACATTGATCACGTCGATCCCTCGGTCCCAGCACAGTTGGAGTAACGTGAGATGCTGAGGCATGCCTTTGCCCGTGTTATACCAGGCTACCGTAAAATACGGTGTCCTGTGTGGCGGGCCATGTCCGTTCCAGCGCCTGCGGCATCTGCGGCGCCCTCCCCTGCCAGAACATTGGCGTCCTGTCATTTTTCAGGGAGTTCGGGCTGTTCACGGTTCCAGCCGGCTGGAGCTGCTGCTGCAGCTGCCCGCTGGGAGCCTTGTCTCATCCGAGGCCTGCCTGAGGTCTGCAAGGAAGGTTCTGCTGATGTTATTTCAACGTCCCCTTCAGTGTCTACCTGCTCAGGGTCGTCCAGGCTGATCCCCCTGATGACCCAGACGTACTCGATGCACTGGATGGTGTGTGAGTTGGTCGGGAGCCTACACTTAAGGCTCGTTTC